TTTTTTTTTAACAAGTTATAACTATGTTCTTTTGTTAGTTTATACGTATATTCGTTTAGTTCAAGATAATATTTACACGCTTTTATACCATCATTGTGTGGTATATTCGTGTAAAGTGGAACCACATCAAGTGTAACCAGTAATGAATTTTCAGGTAGTTTTGGTATAGATTTTAATTTGGTAATGAAATCAAAAGTATCTTTAACATATGAAGGTAATGATTTCATCAATGGTTGTGAAATATAATCAATATATTGCGATGTTATATGTAATTGAGCTACATCTTAAAATAATGGGTCTACCTGGATATCCTACAGGTAGTGACTTATCAGCCGTTTTATGTATATTGGGTAAAATATAAAACTGAGGTGTGCGTATTTTATTTGGGAAAATATCAAGTTCATCATATATGGAACAGTTCTGTATATAGATTTCATCAATACATTGCTTATTTTTGCTTTAATTTCTTCAGAAGGATCATATGAAAACTTTGCATAATATATTCAATCATTTAATTGTCTTTCTACTTCTTTAATATAATCCTCCTTATTCGTTTTTACTATGGTACTAGACTTATCAGCTGTTTTAATAATAATAATACTTTCGTCTTGTGCTAAAGAACGCAATGAATTTAATTCTTCTTTAGATATATATGTAAAATATTTTCCTTTAAAATTGTTATTTAAAATTTCTTGCTTAGTTGCTTCAATATCAAAATCGAGATAAATATCTCATCCACCAGGTGTGAATGATGATTATTTTTTTTTATTGAAAAAGGGCTTATTATGTATATGATAATTACTTTCATTATGTGAATCTTTGCATGATGGTGAGAAAAATTCTTTTAATTTTAATGATCTTGTGTATTTAAAAGATGCTTCTGATAATTTAATATTGTCGTGTACTTTGGTATGATAAACCCTTACCCAAAAGAATATAATCACTATTGGTTAGAATTCTCTTAGAAATGTTTAATACAGTTTCTGTCCTCTTTTGATTTCCTTTTGTCTTTTCTTTCCTTCATCCTTTCTTATTCTGTATTCTGATAAATCTTCTATTATTTCTTCTGTTTGCGTCGTCTGTAACAGATCCTTTAGGTTTTCCATTAGTCTTTTCATTGCTGTAATTATAGTTGTGTTGGATTCTTTTGTAATTTATTCGCCCCATTTTTGACTACATCTGCATAGGTTGCCTTCTGTGTGCTTTAGGCTTATACGTTTCTTGCTTGATTATTCCTAGAATTATTTTGAACAGGTTTATTATATTGTTCTGTGTGGTTTGGTTGATAAGTTATTCCTGATGGTGATGCTTGTCACATTTCATTTCTTGACTGTTGTTTATTTCATGTAAGATTTTTAGTTCTTGCACGTTTATTTTTGACATTGATGGAGTTAGTGTCCTTTTCTGATTCCTTAGGTTATTGATGAGATCTTTTTGATTTCTCACTACTAATTTTCAATGAAGATTTACTTCGTTTTTCTGGAAAGATGTTTTTCTCTCTCTGTAAATTCTGTAAATTTTTTAAGTTAACTTGGCAATATTGCATCTTTTTTAGATTCCGTTTTCTTAAAAAGTTCTTCATAAAAATGCCACTATTGCCTTTTATCAAAGATTTTAGTTCATCTCTATGTTCTTCGAAATCTTTGTCTAATTTTATCAATCTCCTCTGATGTTTTTCTTTAGGCCTCTCACGTATTTCCAAAGATACTTTATCTAATAGCGAGTCAATGGATTCTTGAAATTTCTTTGATTCTGTGTCATTCCCTATCTGAATCTTAAGTTTCAAACGTACTCCCTTTGGTACAATAGTCTTCCAGACAATTTTCGAGAAAACGAGCATGCAGTCGATTATTCATCTGTTTTTCGGCTGATTTTTCCATTGTTGTTGTTGTTGTTTTTTTTTTTATAAAAAAATAGGTAGTTCTATTGTTAATACGTGGATTGTGTAAGGCGCTCGACTTGACGCATCATTTAGATATTTCTACATCTCATCTCTGTCCAGGTGAGTTCGACTATTGGTGCTATGTTCGAATGCTTGCCAGTAGCTTCCTGTTGGGTCGATGGTTCTCTCTGGGTTTTTCCTCCACCAAATATGCTGGCCGCCATGTATTGCCTGTAATGTTCTGAAAAAATGACGTTAATCCCCAAAGAAACAAAAGAATTTTTTTAAAAAAATCTTTTTTCACCGACAAGTGAGGTAAAACAGTGGGCTAGTGTAAGGGAGATAATTTAATAATGAAAGACCGAATGCCTGTACAATCAGCTGCTGACATATTTTGCTTATAAAGTATTTGGCAAACATTTTACATATAAAAAATAGCACACAAAAAGCAAACAAATTAGAAGAAAAGAAAAGAAAGAACACCCCGGCAATAAATGTCATTAAATGTGACAAGTAAGGCTTTTAACACTGGTACGAGCAGGTGAGATACAAAATATGAATCAGTCTAAAAGAAAAAACACAAAAACTCGAATACTAACATCACAAGAATAGAGGTTTTACTTTAGGACAATACCAATAAATAGTATCCAAAAGCTCTTAGCTTTAAGAACAGAAAGAAAAAGAACGAAATATATAGTTTCTACCATTGACGGTTAAAGTTTTACTTTCGTTACGAACGAAGCACCTAAGCCCAAGCCCACTAGTTGCGGTTTTCCGCGAGCGTAGTAGTTAGCAATCAACATAGAAAGCTGACAGAAGATTGTGTGAGGGTTACTGTAGGCCTTATTATTTTTATTGTACGCAGGCGGAAAAGAGTCCAGCAAAGGAAGAAAGCGTCTACCTTCTAACTTAGAAATAAAAACAACACAAAACCCCCCAAACACATATCCACCAACAAAACACAAATATAATCAAATATAATCAAAGACTTCGCCAAGTATAGTGGACATAACATAGAACATAACATGTAGGGACTTACCTATATACAAATAATGCTAGCATACAGGTTAGAGAAGTTTTAATTCGTACTCTACTGAGATTTGAACCCTGGTGCGCTGATAGACGGCAGCCGTCGCCATACCTGCACGTACCAGCCCATATTCCTTCGCGACTAAGCACGATGGGTGCCGCTTACCCACAGAGTAGAGTACGAATTATAATTTTTAAACCTGTGTGATGGTATTATTTGTATTAAAGATTAATTCTGGCTACTATTATCAAGCATTTTTCTATAGAATCCAGGGATAGCTTTTTCCGTTTTGTCTGGTGTATATGTATAATTTCCCCCCTCTCTCTCTCTCTCTCTCTCTCTCTCTCTCTCTCTCTCTCTCTCTCTCTCTCTCTCTCTCTCTATATATATATATATATATATATATATATATATATATATATATATATATATATATATATATATATATATATATATATATATAATACAACTCATATGACGAATAACAACCCTTTCAAGCGTACTGGATCCACCAAGGGATCACGTGTGTCAGGGATTGATTAAAATAGATGCAATAAACTGACGACGAACAGTACGAAACTAGTAACTAACTAGCATAAGCGCTTTCGACTCTTAATGAGTCTTTTTCAAAGGCAAATACAAAACATATATACGACAAACAAATAAACACAAAAACGTTGTGTTTGTAAACCTCTACATGGCTGTCTCCACATGTGTTAAAACTATAAATACAACCAGCTTGTATTTATAGTTTTAACACATGTGGAGACAGCCATGTAGAGGTTTACAAACACAAAGTTTTTGTGTTTATTTGTTTGTCATATATATGTTTTGTATTTGCCTTTGAAAAAGACTCATTAAGAGAAAGCGCTTAGGCTAGTTAGTTACTAATTTCGTACTGTACGTCGTCAGTTTATTGCATATATATATATATATATATATATATATATATATATGTATATATATATATATATATATATATATATATATATATATATATATATATATATATATATATATATGTTGTTATCTCAAAAGTTTTAATACTGTTCTTATTATAGTAAAAATAAATAAATACAATTTAAAAACAACAACAACAATAATAATAATAATAATAATAATAATAATAATAATAATAATAATAATAATAATAATAATAATAATAATAATAATAATAATAATAATAATAATAATAATAATAATAACAATAATAATAATAATAATAATAATAATAATTATAATATAAAGGTTTCTTTTCAAAGCCGGGTACTTCAGGACTTAAAATAAGTCTTGTTCGAATCCAATTAAAAAGAGCCGTGACAATTCCATCGTACCGCGTAATACGTTATATTTTATGGTGTGAAATCAAATTTCCATGATCATTTCGAACCTCCAAACCGAACCCGATTCGGTAAACTCTTGTATCTTTTCCAAATTTGCTGGTGTATTTCATCAGCTAACGACGAAAGATCGGCCCCAAGCAAAACAACGCCTTGATTTTGCATTAATTTAAAGGTCTGCGATTTCCTTGTCGGTCGATTTTTTCGTCACAAACAGCTTTGAAAATATAACTGATATTACACTAATATTCTTAGACCCTTGTGCTTTTCAAGTTCGCGTTTTACCGTTGGCTATAGCAAATGATATTTTCTGCAGTAAAATCTACCAGTACGATTTGTTTATCAAACCGATAACCGTGAGAGCTCTCGCTATTTTTTTCAGGCCCTCCCACGAAACTTCTTTTGGCTATCTCAAGTAAATAAGCATTGCTATGTAATAGTGTAATATTGTATCTTTAATTAATTGCTCAACTGGTGAGCGCTGTGAAATAACAATCAGAGATACAAAATCCTTATAATATAATGACGAGCGCAAAGGAGCAAGAATATTATCACGTTCACCCCAAGTACAAATTGTATGCTGGTAACAGATTATGGTCGGTGATAGGTGTCCACGATAGATCGGTAAAACTACGCTGATAGTTATGAGATCAGTGTCAAAGGTGATCGTACTGAAAGAACAGAAATGTTCAAGAAAATTTTATTATCATTTTGTTTCGTGGTGGCATTCCAGAATGACAACAAAACCGCTCCGGTGGCCTATTGGTTAGATTGGTTAGAGCGTCCGCCTCGGATGCGGGAGGTCGTGGGTTCGATCCCCGGTCGAGTCATACCAAAGACTTACAAAAATGGTACTAACAGCTGCATCATTTGACGCTCAGCATTAGGAAGTTAGTGTTAGGACTGGTCGGCCTGGTGTCAGGATAATGTGACTGGGTGGGACATCATGCTACATGTCTGCGGCATGATGCCCCAGTGCTAGACATCTTTATAAACTGCCACACTGTAGACATCGTAGCTATATGACTGAAAAATTGTTAAAAATTATAAACACCACACCAGAATGACAACGTGTATGTCATGTTAACGGTGCTGTCAGTGATGAAAAGTTTTAAACGAATTTTTACGAAACGTGTTTCAGCCGCATCCATTTTTTGATTTATACAAGGTTTCTGACAGAGGAATTATTAGATATATGAAAAATAAAACGTTCTTGGTGCTCTTAGTAATGCTGTGTATTTTAGGGTAAATATTAGAGGAACACTAACCGATCGCGTTATCACAGTCATCTTTTTGTTTACGAGTTGTTTAACGGACCTATACCTGATGGTCTGGTCATTAATCACATCATTAACGTAAAGACTGAAATTGGACTGGAAACTTTGGAGCTAGTTACGGTGGTGTCAATTTTAAATATCCAGTAAAAGCTGTTGTTTCGTTGAATCTCAAAACGGATGAGGAAATCAAATGAAAATCAATTTCGGCTGCGGCGAAACACTATAAGATAAATACCAGTGCAGAATAAAATCGTTGCTGAAGGGGTAATAAGATCATCTTTTCGAGTGAATACGATGCCAGGATTTCTTTAGATATCCTGATTAATTATATTTGGTATCTCCTGTTTGGTTAAGCTATTGTGGGCAAATTTAGAGGTTACTACATTTGTATGGGAAAATATGAACAAATTTTTCGGATGAATATACTGCACGACCTTGGGAGTGCAATATATCCATCCAACAAAACGAATTCATATTTTCCCATACAAATGCAGTAACCTTTTTATTTTATGCTCATTTTATTATTCTTCCCAAGGTTTAAAGATATAAACAAAAATACACCACAAAAAAATCATAAATGTATGCCGAATTCCAAACTAAATACTTAGGCGTTGATGCATCATTACACGACAGCATTTTAATGAACGCAAAATTCCGCCCAGGTAAATTTGAAGTTGATCGCGCTAGACATAAGTTTCCAAAGAAAAATGCGTTTGGTTTACTTAAAATTAAAATTTTGAGTAATACTGTTAATGAATACGCATTGCAATAACCTATCCATTTGATTTGGAATGAATATATTTTGGTATTTTTGTCGATTCGATGCAGTCTTGTGATTAGGGTCTATCTATCTACATTTAGTAACTTGAACCGGATTCCAACAGCGTCTGCCAATTTAATCGCATTAAAGTGTGTTGACATCGGCATGCATGATTCAGATCATAATATGGGAAAATTATGAAGCCTGTTAATTGCAATTACCGAAAAGTGGTTTATTTCATTTTGAGTGCATTAAGGAGAATGTAACTATACTTTGAATATAAAAGTCAAATTACTGTACAATTGAGAAACCATGACATGGCTAATGTAATTCGGATTTGCAAAACTACGAAACTATATTGTTGATGAAATTCAAAATGTAAAATTTTAAGTATATTTGTGCCATTTTTATTACCAGCTGAAGAAGAAGTTTATGCGTTATAACTTGCGTGTGATTGTGAGGACCATGTATGGCATATATAGCTAGCCTAAATCTGAAACATTGTATCAAAAAAGTTAATGCGGGATGTGCCAAAGCAGTTTGTTTGTGTCAGTCTATGAAACATCTGCTGGTATGTGTCTTATGAAATATCTGCTTTAGTTCATTCATAAAAAAATAGTTTACGTTAGAAAATAGTTCCTTTATTCACGTTCATTAAGTATGAATTGAGCGCGAGAAGTGTAATATGAAGGTGTGAAATATCGGTAAATACTGAACGATTCTGACAACGTAAAGTTAACGGAGAAATAAATGAGCATATATTAAGTTATAACATCTTTTTCAATTTTTAGCGTCATTAATGCGCTAATTTTATTTTTTTCTCCTGCTGTTAATAATATTTGATTAGAATCACCTTGCGTTACAATTACGTCAACGGAGTATGAACAATAACCTGACAAACATTTTCTTACTGCTTCGGCTAGTTCGTTGTAATTTAATATATTGATGTTGTAGTTGATATTTTACCTCGTTAGCCATCCTATAACAATAAATTAAATAAGAAAAATATTAAAATATGGACTTGATCAGAAGGCCTGCTGATATATGCTCAGAAGATACGACCAACGAGAAAGTAGTAGACAAGATAACAATCACCAATGATATCATAAACAAAATTTCTAGCTATATCCAAGACGATATTTTAAACAACGTCGTCAATAAAAAAAATTACGTCAGACCGACAACTGGACGGTATAACGTAAAATATTACATTACAAAAAATGAAATTTAACTTTACGGTCGCCGAGCAACAACTGTTTTGGAGGAGTATCGAATCGTTTTTGAATATCAAAATTTCAGCCGACAGAAAAATATAAAATTTGATTCGATATTCGTCAAGATTTTTAAATTATTGACGCTTTGAGACGATCGCAGGCAGTATCTAATATCGTTAGGTAAAGAGATAAAATGTAAATCTGTCGAACGCAAGTACGAGGAAATCTACGCAAACATGCTTTGAAAAGATATAGCGATCTCAATTTGTCTGTCAATTTATGAGATCCAATTCCTTTGGAAGATTTACGCCCCCCAATAAAACTTTTTTGAATTCCTTCAATATACTTTGCGAATGCATAGCTCTTTCTCACTCAACATTTGTATATAAACAGCCACTGGCAACCTCTTCAATTGTAAAGTATTTCACACCTCGACGAAATATTTCCTTCTGTTGGCACAAAATGGTCAATGTGTATATACCATAGAAGCTATGCATTGCAAAAAAATCAATAAACTGAAGAGCTGATAAAGTACATTCATTCATTCATTGTAGTAAGCTTGGCAGTTCGTATATTGATCTCTACCATAAACATGCCTGTCTGGTTACATCAATATGTGTGTGCATACTTTTCTGTCGTTTCTACAATCCGTGCAGCATAGAATAAGTAGAATGAGAGTGGGATTTGTCTTGCTAGCTACCAATGGGGACATTGATATCCGTGCGAGATTCTAACGCCTGTGATTGACTTACATGACTTATGTGTTTACACCTCTTGCGTGACAAACTTAAAGGTGGTCAAGCATGTATGGATTGAGTAGGACTACGTATGTCATTGGTTTTAAAAGCAAGAATGAATGTCAGGGGACCAGTTTCGTAGTAAATATGGTAAAACCGGCAGTTTCAGGCTACTGTTTGTTACGGGTATATTCCATAGATATATGCTGAAAAAAGATACCTATAATTACAACAGAAAAAGGTACAAATGCCAGGTCTTAATGAGTTTAATTTGTCAGTTAACAAATATAATAGATACTAGAATGAGAATATTGCTATTGGCAGGAAGTATTTCACATATAAAAATGAAAATCTTTATTATGAATGTAGAACAACTTTCAAAATAAATGTATTATTTTATTTACGTCTTAATTATAATTCTTTTCGCTAAGTTGATTCTCTATATAAATGCAGAAAAGGTTTGCTTTTTATTCGATAGTACTGTAGCGGAAATCACTCGTAAACGCTACACCGAGTCTCGCTTTCTCGGATTCATTAGGATAAGTCTTTATATGTAAGTAATACCCTGCTTTATCTCAAGAATGTGACAGATTCCTACCCTAGCGGGATTTCGTCGTATTCATGGCTTTTTGTAGCCACCTGGTCGCCAAACAGGTCGTCGACTGGGTCGCTTTCTCACTCAAAGCTTGCTTTATCTGCTGGATAGCCGACTAAATCAAAATTTGTGTCATTGTAAGGAACACCGACTAGATTGTAGCGTTCGTCATCGACTGATTCATAGTCACGGGTGGTCACTTCCTCTGTATTGACGCACGGATGTTTTTGTTTTTCCTCGCTGATGTGTTTGATAATTTCGTGACACTACCATGCATGTGTACAAGATCGATGTCACGCACTAAGTTGGTCAGCTAATATGGGTTGGGATGCATTGTTGTCTAAAACTAAATTCGAGATGGAAATGCTCACACACATTGGCCAGCATCTGTTTACCGAGCGATCACTTCGTTGTGGAATTACCATGGCGAAACATTGATACACTCGTAGCATCAATGACAACGTGAACTGTTATGACTGTTACATCATATATCTAATGCGAATAACCTTTATGGATGGGATTTTATGCAGACTCTTTTGGTGGAGTTAGTAGTAGAAGGAAATGAGGGTTTCGGCCCACTTTATCTTTTTACCCTCCAAACAAGTATAAATTATAGTCCTAAATTATCCCCCACCCCCTTTTCCAAAATAGTGAAATGAGGGTTTTAGCCCACCGCCACCCTCCCCCTCTCCCACCCCCGCCAAACCCTCATTTCACTATTTTGGAAAAAGGGTAGTAGGGGATAATTTAGGACTATAATTTATACTTGTTTGGAGAGTAAAAGATAAAGTGTGATGAAACCCTCATTTCCCTCTACTACTACTATGTAGACAGGTATTTTGTAACCAGACAAAACAACAGGTGTTGGAATGCGATAAGCTCTGTCAACAGAAGTGACGAATTTGTTAGAACAGCGTATGTGTGGAATATGATTATTCTAAAGACGGCAAATAGATTTTACCACAAATTTTTTATCAGATAACAGGACGAAAATTAAACTGTGCATTAGAACGTTTCAGTTAACAAGGTGGAAATTAAACTAGCATTAGAATGAAAATGATATTATTTTAGTTATATTATATCTTAAGTTTAGATAAAATTTTATGTTACTCATACTTCTTTTGATAATTTTTCTCATATTTGCTGATCCTCATGGTTATAATATCTGTTAACATGATGTCAATAATACGAAATTCACGTATTAAATCGTCCATACTATATTTTACTCCTCGTAGGTAAGATCTTAT